ACATGTGTGCATGTGGAGACGGGGATGTTCTGGAGCCATGTTGCTGCTTTGTGAGTGCCGAGAGGCTCCACTGCCCTCTGGTGCGGTCTCAAGAGTGTGTGCCAGAATGCCCAAACACCGGGCCATGTGTCTCCGGATCTCGGGGGCGCTCCTCTGTCGCTGGGTGTGTGAATTGGTGTCAGCCTGTGTCAGCGTGTGTGCCTGTGTTGAGTAAATGAGGCCAGAGAGCTGCTTAGCACAAGACCTCACTCACATACCCTCCTGGAAAAGGGATCATGGAAGGACAGTGACCAGAAGGACGGGACAGGGGACGAGAGGGCCCGGCCCCTTGGACTTTGGTCTCTGGTAGGCTCCCTCCCTCCCCGCTCTAGAATTCTCCCTCCCTCCCTTCCCCCCCCTCCCTCCCTCCCTCCCTCTGTCAGCCTGGATGGGAAACTCAGGCCAGGGCAGCACAGACCTGGTGCTGGGGCCCCCAGAGAGAGGCGGACCAGCCCCTGCCTCTCCAGGCCCAGGATGCAGGGGAAAGCCCACCAGGTAGTAGGGATGCCCTATGGACCATGTGGCCAAGAAATGAGGACAGGGAGGTGGCAGGAAGAAACCGAGCTAGAGTGAGAGGGTCCTGTGTCCTGTGTTCCCCTTAAAGGGAGAAGGAAATTGGGTGTCCCTCCAGGTCAACCATTCTGCACCAACGCCTACTGCTGTCCCTGATCCTGGTCCAGAAAGGACACACCCTCCAGGGTGATCTACTCACACAGAAAACTTCCATCCACATGGAATCAGATACGCAGAGTTGTATACCAGCACCAGATCAGATCACACAGGGACATCCATAGTTGATCAGCGCCTGCCATGGGCTGTTGGGGAGGGGGGTGGGAAGAGGGCTGGAATCTAAACTGGAAGAGCCCGGGTCGTGTCCAGAGAGAAGGGACCCAGGAGCATCCCCGTCTGCTATAGCAGAATGGGACATTAAAGGTGTGCCTGCTGGGCTCCTGGGGTGAAGGAGGGAGGGTACTCCAGACAGGTACCTCCTCCATCTACAGTCTTCATCTCATCCCAGCCCAGACGCAGACCTTGTTTGTCTCTCTTCATCTACCATGGCCAATACCCTCTCCCTTCCATGTCGCCTTTAATCCTCCTGTACCGCCATTCCCCCTGGAAATGGTTACTTCTACCCTTCTGCCACGCCAGTGCGCACACCACGGGCACACCACACCACCCGCCGGGTGTAGGGAGGAAGAAACTACTCGAACTGGTTTGGAGTAGGTGTGCATCGTGCTGGGGTGCTCTCCCTGTTCCCGTCGTGTTTGGCCATGTAGGAGCCTGAGGAGTAGGGGGACACACGGACGGAGAAACAAAGGCATTCGAGGAGGCCGAGGGGGAAGCTGGGAGAGATGCCCAGGAGAGAGAGTACTCAGGAAAAGGCCCCAGAGGTAGACAAAAGGCAGAGCAGGGCAGGCTGCGGGAGGGGGCAGGCCAGGAAGGCGGAGGGACCTCAAGAGGGGGTGGGGCATCAGGGCTGCGAGCAGATGGAGGGGATTTGCTTTGCTGAGCTGAACTCTTCAGCCCGTGAGGTTTTGGAGAACTTGATGGGAGTGATGAGCAGTGACCTCAGCTTCCATTCGTCTGTCTTCATCCCTTTCCCTCCTCCCTTGAGTCTTGGGGACGGTGTCTGGTCCCAGCGGCCTTGTGGACCCTGGGACCTCTCTTCTGCCCCTGAGCTGCTGTAGCCAACTCCTTCTTTCTCACGGCCCTCTTAAACTCACTGCAGAGGGAGAACGGGGCGAGAGGGACCGGCTGCAGCTCATTGGTGGTGACAGGAAGGTGACCTCTTTCTCTCTTGCAGGACCTGAAGGAGAAGAAAGAGAAGGTGGAGGAGAAGGCCAGCCGAAAAGAGCGAAAGAAAGAAGTGGTGGAGGTGCGGAGGGGTCGGGGGTCAGGTGGAGGAGACCCGGAGCTCCCCTCCACTTACCTGGGCGTGGGGGTGGGGGGGCCGGGTCCTGCCTCCGCCCTGGCCCCTCCCACCCTTCGGTCCCGACGCCCCTGCGCCCCTGCGCCCCTGCCGTAGGTGGTGGCGGTGGTGGCGGTGGCGGTGGCCATGGCGGCGGAGGCACGCGGCCAGCCTGACGCCGCTCCCTCGGCCCTCACCCCTCGCCCGGTCCGACCCCCACAGGAGGAGGAGAACGGAGCTGAGGAGGAAGAAGAAGAAACTGCCGAGGACGGAGAGGAGGAGGATGAAGGGGAAGAAGAAGGTGGGGAGGGGCAGGGGAGGCGGGGCTCAAAGGAGCAGAGTCAGGGTGGGTTTGAAGAGCTGAAGCAGGGCTGAGGGCAGCCGCCGGGGGTCTGTGCCAGAGCTTCCTGCCCTTCCCCCATGACCCGTTTCTGGCTCCTCAGATGAGGAAGAAGAAGAAGATGAGGACGAAGGGCCCGCGCTGAAGAGAGCTGCTGAAGAGGAGGTTTGGGCTGGGCTGTGGGGCCCGAGGGGCTGTCAGGGATGCAGCAGGGGCTTGGGAGCCCTTTGGACTTGGACCTGGATCCCTGTGGTGCAAGGGCGGGGGCTGGAGCAGGGCAGGGACAGGGGGCGGTCCCTCTCCCATTTTGCCGCTAAGCGCAGCTCTCCTTCCACAGGATGAAGCGGATCCCAAGCGGCAGAAAACAGAAAATGGGGCATCGGCCTGAGCCCCTTGCCAATGGGCTGGGGGTGGGAGGCCCCTCCGGGCCTGGAGGTGGGGGTGAGAACAGACGAGTGCAGCCACTCTTCACCTGGCTCCTGGCTCTGGACCCTGCACCAGAGCTGCCACCCTCTTTGTCCCCAGCCTTTCTCCTGTCCCCTCTCCAGACACTGCCCCTTCTATCCTCACTCTGCCATTGTTCCACCTCTTGACCTGCTCCATCTGAGCTCCCCAGCTGGTCCCCAGTCGCTCCTCTCCCTGTCCTTGCTCTCTCCCTCCCCCCCACCCATGACCCCTCCTCCGGTAACCTCTCCTTCCTCACCTCTGCATCCCAGCCTCATGTCCGGTCCATCCCTACCCTGCCTGATCCCTGGGTCTCCCTCAGATCCCCTTCTCTCAGACAGCGCCAGGCCGGGGTGGGGCCAGGGTTGGGGCCGAGCCCCACAGCTGCCCCCCTCCCCTCTCCTCCCCTTTTTGTATAATTTAATAAAGAAACGGTCGCGCTTCTGTTTTTAACCTGTCTCCTGCTTTCCCGGGGCAGGGGGAGGGGGGTGGCAGACGTCACATTCCATCAGGACCCTTGCCTTCTGTAAAAAAAGCAGCTGTATTCTCCTACCACCCACCACTCAAGAAGACAAGATCAGCACTCCAGGGGTGGACATGGAGCTCGCAGCTTCTCTGAGAACTAACTTCTTTCCTGGTTTTGGATTCTTGGGGATGCTCCTCCCCAGCAGAACACACACACACTTCCCTGCTAGCCCACACCAGGTCTAGACACTGCTGAGCCCAGTGGAAAGCTACCAGCTCTTGTGCTGAACCAGGCAAAGAAGTAGCCTCAGAAACAGGAAGTCCCACCCCTGAAGTGGGAGAGGGCTGGGAGGCCTGGGTCTCAGCCTCCTGGGACTTGGAGAGAGAGTTGTCTGGCATCAAACCTGTCCTCCACCTGGTAGTGAGGAAGTGAGCACTTGGTCAGGCAGGGGAGAAGTCCAGGGCCTCTTGTGGTTCCCAGGTGTGGAGCAAGTTATTGGCACCCATACTCCACCTCTCTGGGCTGGGCTCCTCTGGCTGGGTGGGGTGGGGAGCAAGAGTTCCCTTCTGTCAGACTTCCTTCCCTAGTTCTGTCTCAGTTTTTCTTGAGTTTGATCTCTGTTGCAGGATTTCTGCATTTCTCCATATCTCCCTTGCCCTGTTAGTTCAAAACCTCTGGATTGGGAGAAGCTGCTGAGTACACAGTGGTCTTGAACTGGATGGGTGTGTGTGTGTGTGTGTGTGTGCGACTCATTGACCCCACCATTCTTCGAGAGGATATCCATAACTCACCCAGAGTCTGGACCACAGACAATAGCTCCATAACTGACCTTGGTCAATTAATCTTTGAGGCTGCCTCAGTTTCTTCATCTGTATAATGGGGGATATCAGATTTCATGAGTTACTATCTATAAAGTATCCAATACAGTCCCTCCACCCCATATCTTCACCTCCACCACAATATACTCAGTGAAGGCTCAATGTAATGTAGCTTTTTGTCTTCTGAGGACTTGGGGTGCCCCTTCCCAGACCTACCATCTTTTAGGTCTGCTTTATTCCCAGGAGCCATGGGATGGGTGGGAAGGCAGGTCTCATGCTAAATGAAAGTCCTGGGAGGTTAAGGGAATGAGGGAGGAGATGAGTACCAAGGGAAGGGTTTGCCAAGAAAATGTTGAGACTGGAGCGGCAGCTTAGAGGTGGGCAAGCAGGTAGTTCCAGGCAGATAAGGCTTGGAGAGAATGCAGAAGTTGCCCAGGAAGAGGAATAGTCAGAAGGGTGGGGGAGGTGTCGGCGGGGACACCCAGGACTGAGGAAATAAACAAGGGGAGCGCCACCACAGAGGTGGAGGGTAATGCTGCTGGGAATCAACCCCCTCAGACTTTCCACTGCGAAGCGAAACCGTGAGCCTTGGGGTGGGGGGGGGTAACGGGGAGGGGAAGTGGGGAAGGTGGAGGAAAGGCAGAAGGACAGAGGTGAGGGCCCTGGGAGCAGCAGAACTGCCTCCCAGCTCAAGACAGCCACCTTGCCTCCACTCTGCTCTCTGCTACTGCCCTGCCCACTTGCTGGAACCCCCCCGACTCTCCCCCTCCAGCTCCTGCTGCCTGATCTGTCCAGCTTGCCTCCGGATTCCAGCCTCTGGTCATTGGTTCTTCCCTCTATCTCCAGGTCTCTGCCCTTGTCCCTCTACTAGATTCCCTTCCTCCACCCCATATCTTTGCAGAACTCTCTTTTGTCCGTCTGTCCCTCCTTTCTTTCTGACCTCTTCCCTTTGGGGGGGCTCAGTGTGGCCCAGGCCTAAGGGAGATGTGGGAGGCTCAGTTCCTGGTTCTGCTGCTTCTGCAACTGCGGTGGGTGGCTCCAGGTAAGATGGGGCTGACCCTCTGGGAGGGCTGCCGTCCAGACCCACGGGTGGGGGAGGGGTGGTCAGCAGGGATGTCTGGACCTCACAGATGCCAAGTTCCTTAGCTTGGGTGGATTCTTCTAATGCCTTGCTTGGGGCACTCTTTCTGCCCCCAAAGCCTCTTGTCAGTCTTCCTGTTGGGTGGGGAAGGGACAGAAACCGAAGGTCTTCCTCAGCCCCATTTTGCCTTCAGACAACTGAGGCTCCTTCTCTACTCCTAAGTCTTTTGGCTCACGGCCCCTCCTCTTGGCCTCTTTTTTCCTCCCCAGTGGAGGCTCCAGGGTCTGGGACAGAGGTCCCGACGGTGGTGTGGGCCCAGGAGGGGGCTCCGGCCCAGCTCCCCTGCAGCCCCACAACCTCTCTCCAGGATGTCAGCCTTCTGCGAACCGCAGGGGTCACTTGGCACCACCTACCAGACAGGTATGCACCCCTAACTTGGGCAACAGGACCCCCACATGCAACAGCAATGGCATCCAGACTCATAACCGCAGGCCCAAGCTAGCCCTCTGTCTCCTCGCCTGAGCTGTCAGTCCTTCTGAAGCCACAAGCTCAGCTCTCCCCGCTGCTTTTCCTGCCTTTCCTCGGAAGCCTGCTCCCCTCACACCTGCATCCCTTCTACACCTGCCTCTCCAGAGAGTGGGTGGCGCTGGCCCGACCCGAGGGGAGACGGGGATGAGGACTGTTAGCGGGCCAGAGATCTTCCTTTTGGGTGCCTTTCCTCATCCTTGAAGTGGGGTTGGACCGCCCCTTGCCCCCCCGGGCTTGTTCCCCCTCGCATTTCTCAGTGCCGTCCCTCTCTCCCGCCCAGCGGCCCTCCGGCGCCCGCGCCCAGCCTGCGCCCCGCCGCGCCCTCCGCCCGGGGCCCAGGGCCGCGGCGCTACGTGGTGCTGATGCGGGCGGCCGGCGGCCTGCGCAGCGGGAGGCCCCCCCTGCAGCCCCGCGTGCAGCTGGACGAGCGCGGCCTCCAGCGCGGGGACTTCTCGCTGTGGCTGCGCCCGGCCCGACGCGCCGACGCCGGCGAGTACAGCGCGGCCGTGCACCTCCGGGACCGCTCCCTCGCCTGCCGCCTCCGTCTGCGCGTGGGCCAGGCCTCCAGTAGGTGGGGGCGGACCGCGGGGAGCGGGGCTGGAGCCGGGGCGCCACGGTCCCTGTCGCCCCGGGAGGCAGGAAGGGCCGGGGCAGGGGCTGTGCTTCTTGGGAGGCGCCCTGGGCCCCGCCCGAGAGCCCCCGGGAGGGGGGCGGGAGGGGGTGGGGAGCAGAGTGGAAGGGGCGCCCCCAGAGAAGCACGTGTGTGGGGAGAGGACCCTCCGGAGAGACTGTCTCACCCCTGGAGCTCCCCTCCCCCACGCACCCTGGGAGTGCCACGGGGGAGGGAGGGAGGCACCCCTGGGTTGGGGGGAGAGTGCAAGGCTAGAGTGACTCATTTCAGACATCTGTAGCTCAGGGGGTGGGCTGAGTGGGGATCCTCGGGCAAGGCTTGGAGAAAGGGAAGGGTAGACCATGCCAACCAAGTATACTGGAGGCCTGGGGGGGCGGGGGGCGTGTGCAGGGGAAGGAGGCAGGAGATCCCGGAGCATCCATTTTAAGCACCTCCAGGTACCAGGCACTGGACTTGGGGGGGGGTTGGGGGAGGGGGTTTTGCGGGCGGTGGTCAGAGGAGGGTTGGGGAGGAGAAGACAAGCGTTGGCGGTGGGGCTAATCAAATCTTCTTTATCCGTGAGCAGTGACTGCCAGCCCCCCAGGGTCCCTCAGGATCTCCGACTGGGTCATTTTGAACTGCTCCTTCAGCCGCCCTGACCTGCCAGCCTCTGTGCACTGGTTCCAGGGCAGAGTCCCTGTTCACGAGTCCCCCCATCACCACTTAGCTGGAAGCTTCCTCTTCCTGCCCCAAGTCAGCCCCTCAGACTCTGGGCCGTGGGGCTGCACCCTCACCTACAGAGATGGCTTCAGTGTCTCCCTCACGTACAACCTCACCGTTCTGGGTAACTCCTCCAGTCTGCCTTCACCCTTGACCACAACCCCTCCCTGCCCCCCATCACCTTCCCCTGACTTATGGGTCCCCAAACCAGGTCTCCGGCAGCTAGCTCCCACTGTGAATGCTCTGGGCCTCACGGCCCCACTCCCTTTTACCTCGAATGGCAACCTTTCAGCTGCCTTCCCCACTTCTGGCTTTTCCCTGGGTCATGCAGCCTCACTGGGCCACCTTTGGCCTCCTGGTGGCCCGGCCCACATGGGGGGCTCTGAGCATCTTCAGTTCATCCACCTTACTCTGCTCCCTTGCACTCTTCCGAGCTGGACCACCTCCTTTGCTCTTCTGCCTCCCCACCCCTGCGGCCCCAGTGCTCCAGCCTCTCTGTACCTCCCCCTCTCCGCTACAACTTTGGCTTCTCCTTCTTTCCCAGGTCTGGAGCCCTCAGTGCCTCTGACGGTGTATGCTGGAGCAGGTTCCAGGGTGGACCTACCTTGCCGCCTGCCCCCCGGTGTGGGGACCCCGTCTTCTCTCACTGCCAAGTGGACCCCTCCCGGGGGAGGCCCTGACCTCCTGGTGGCTGGAGACCATGGCAACTTTACCCTCCAACTGGAGGCTGTGAGCCAGGCCCAGGCTGGGGCCTACACCTGCCGCATCCATCTGCCCGGACAGCAGCTCAGTGCCACGGTCACTCTGGCAGTCATCACAGGTCAGCCCCAGGTGGGAAAGGATGAGCTCCCATCGCAGGGGAGCTGGGACAGGGAGGGCAGGCCGGCTGGGCCAAGACTGGGCAGATCCGCCTCATGATACGAGGCCACCATGTGCAAGTTGCAGAGGCTGCCCTGGTGGCCCCCTCTTTTCTCGCCCCCACATGAAGAACTGAAACTGAAAATCTCCCCTGAGTCACTAGGTGAACATTCCACTCTCCTCTAAGGGACTCCCCTGCTCTGAATTGGGAGGAGGGTCTGAAAAGTTAGAAGGAGAGGTGGCAAAAGTTTGAATGGTTCAAAAGAGGTGGACTCTATCTCTAGAATCCTCGTCTACTTGGGGACCAGTGCTTGGCTTAAAGTTGCAGGAAGTGGCTTGGATTTGGGGAGTTAACAAATCAGTCCCTTGGTCAGCAAATATTTACTGAGCGAGGACTGTTTTTTTTTTTTTTTTAAGAGAGTATAAAACAAACACAGAAAAAAAAAAAACCACCACCACCACCAACAAAAAGCCAAAACTCAGAAGGTGTGTGTTGATGGATTGGTAACTAGGAGCCACAACAGCCCAGCTGTGTCTGTAGTATTCACCTGGGGTCACTAAAGAGTAGCACCTTGTAGTAGGTGCTTAATAGTGTACATTGGTTGAGTGACTCAGTGAGTGCGCTGACAGGTCATACATCTCCCAAGGGCCAATGCTGACTTTCCACCTGCTCCAGGATCGCTCTCCCTAGATGTCATACCCACACCGCAGCCTCACTCCGAACCCCATCCTTTCCTCACACCGCGAGTCCTCTTGCTGACTTAGCCTTTCTGTCTGTAACTCCACCTGTACCCCACTCCACTGAAACTTGGCCTCCCGTTTCCTCCACATCCAGTCAGCCCACAAAGCCTCCCAATTTTGTCTGTCCTAGGTCTTCTTGAGGGTCACCTGTTTCCGGTTAGTTGTCCGGGCTCTCTGCACAACAGCTCAGTGGGAGAGATTGTTGCCCCTGTAGAGAAGGAATTTCTCAAATCACAGGCCTGGGAAGTGCCCGCCTCGGGGTCTAAGGTCGGGTGTCTGTGTCGCCAAATCCTCAGGTGGCTCCACCACTATGCTCGCTCAGCCCAAGACCCTTCACCACTGGGGTCCTCCTACCGGCCCTCTCTCTCACCGTACAGCTTTGAGATGCTCTGTCCGTAGACGGGTGGGTCAGTTCACTATTCTCTGAACATTCAGAAAAGGGGGCAGAGTTCATTCAGGGGCCACCTCAAGGCAGGGGGCACTGATGTGAGCCAAGTCATGGAAGCAAAAAAAGTGCAAGGTGTATGGGAGGGGGGCAACACACCTGACTGATCTTGGGGTTCTGAGCATTTGAGTGGGAAGTCGTGTAAAAGAATCCGAGATGGTATTTGTTATGTGATCCTTCTGGGCCCGTTTGAGTTTGAACAGTCCCGGAGGGCAGTAGAGAGCTCGGAGGCTGTTAAGCTGCAGAGGGATCTGCCCGGAGCTTTGTCTTGATAAGATTGATTTGGCCCTGACCCCGATCTCCTCCTCTCAACCTCACCCAATCAGAGCCCAGGTGAGAGCCTGAGTGCCGGGTGATCGAGATGGGGGAGTTGGATCTATGGTTTCAAGTAAGGGGGTCGGGCCCCCAAAGATCTCTTCCCTCTGATTTTCTCAGTGACTCCCAAATCCTCTGGGTTAACTGGCAAGCTGAGAAGACTGCTTTGTGAGGTGACCCCGGCGTCGGGACGAGAGCACTTTGTGTGGAGCCCCCTGGATAAGCACTCTTGGAGAGGTTCCCCAGGACCCTGGCTGGAGATGCAGGAGGCCAGACTCCTTTCTCAGCCCTGGCAGTGCCATGTGTACCGGGGAGAGATGCTTCTCGGGACAGCGGTGTACCTCCCTGAGCCAGCTGGCCCAGGTCTGAGACGCCACAATGCTCCGGACCACTCCTCTTGACCCCACTTTCCAGACCCCTCCCCGCCCGCATTCCAGATCTTTTCTTTCTAACCTCAGGACAGGCTCTTGTCCGGTCCCCAACCCACTTCTGTCATTCATTAGCTAATGATCCTGGATAAGTCCCTCAACTCTGGGCCGCATTGTGTGCATAATGTACGAGGGTGTGGCAAGATTCCCTTCCGGCGAGGACCCGGGACCTAACTCTGTACTTCCTCTGTAGGTGCCCGGCGCTCTGGGAGGGCCCCAGGGGCCCTGAAAACAGGCCATCTCCCTCTCTTTCTCATCCTTGGTATCCTCTTTCTGCTCCTTTTGATGACTGGAGCCTTTGGTTTTCACCTTTGGAGAAGACAGGTGAGCCGGGGACACCCCTCAGCCCCCACCAGCCACTGGCTTCCCCTCTTTTCAGTTTTCTTTTTCTTTTCTTTTTTTAAGATTTTATTTATTTGACAGAGAGAGACACAGCGAGAGAGGAAACACAAGCAGGGGGAGTGGGAGAGGGAGAAGCAGGCTTCCCGCGGAGCAGGGAGCCCGATGCGGGGCTCGATCCCAGGACCCTGGGATCATGACCTGAGCCAAAGACAGACACTTAACGACTGAGCCGCCCAGGCGCCCCTCTTTTCAGTTTTCTGAGTGCTGTCTGGCACCCCTTCCTCAGGGAAGATGACCAAGGTGGACTCCTCATCCTGCCTTGAGAGCCCCCCCTCTTCATAAACCTCTCCAGGGACTCCCTGTGCCTGAAGGACCCAAGGGAGGCTTGAAGGGGCTGAGAAAAGGCCTGGGACCAGAAGGGGAGGGCAGGGCCCTGGAAAAGAATAGATGTGCTCAGTATCCTCCTTACTGTCTTTCCCTTCATCCTTCCCCGCACCCACCCTCCGTGTCTTCCCACAGTGGCGTCCAAGAAGATTCTCTGCCTTGGAGCATGGGACTCACCCACCTCAGGCTCAGAGCAAGATAGGGGAGCCGGAGCCGGAGCCGGAGCTGGAGCTGGAGCCGGAGCCGGAGAAGCTCTGACCTGGAGCTCAGGCAGCCCGCAGATCTCCACAACTCGGTCCAAATAAACTCCCTGTCAGCAGCAAGCCTGAGTCTGGCTCCTTCTGTCCAGGGAAGGTTCCTGTCTCTGCGTCTCTGCCCAGCCTCTGGGGGCTCCCTTCTCCGACCTCAGCCTTCCGACCTACTTTCCCCAGCCAATCTCTCTTATCTTCCTCTTCTCGGTTCCTGGCCTCTCCGTGATTCTTTCTGCCTTGGTCTTTCTCTTGCTCTCTCTCGCTCTCTCTCTCCCGGGTAGTCGTTTTTTCTGAAGCTCCAAGAGCCCTCACCCCTTACCTCTACAGCTCCCTTCTGCCTCCTTTGCTCATGTTATGCTGGCTGCCCTGGTTTCCTTTGTATTTTTGTTCCCCTGGCCCACCCCACCCCACACTTGGCTCCATTTCACTTTGTCCTTGGCCCTTTTGCTGCAGTGCGCGCGCGCAGACACACACACACACACACACACACACACACACGGCGGAGCCCTGCCATGTCACGTCCTCCAGGGGATCAGGTCTTGCAACCTTTCTGGGCAGCTGGCTGAGGTTCCTGCTTGCCTCCTCCCCACCCCCATGTTCCTTGGCTCTGGGCAACCTGTCGGGTCCCAGGCACGAGAACACACTGCCACCCAGTGGCCACTGCTTGTCATGCCATGGGAGGTCACTGGGCAGGCAGGGGCAGGCTGGAGGAGACCAGCAGTGCAGTGGTCCAGGCGGGCCCAGATCCCCGCAAGCGGGCAGCACCTCTGCGGTGTTCACTTTGTGCGGTCCGCGACTGAGTGTGCACCAAGCAGCGGTCACATCGCCTGTGCACTCTCCAGGAGAGGGACCGAACCATGCCCGCCTCAGGACACAGAGCCCCGGCCCTGGCAAGGTTATGATCCAGGTCTGACAAAGGGGAGTGCTGTGAACAAAGGGCCCCGTGGCGAGAAAAATGGCCAGCAAGACAGCTGGCTATGGCACAGCTTTGGGAGTCCAGAGACCTGGCTTCGGATCCTATCTCTGCTGATGTGACCAGAGCTGATCTCCTTAGCCTCGGTTTCCTCCTATTAAGTGGAATAATGGTAATGGCCCATGAAAAGGGGTTGCTGTATCGGATGGTCAAAGGGCTTTGAAAACTGAGGTGCCCCCGTGTATATGATGTGCTTGTCTGGTTCCCCACTTGTGGAGGAGGTAGCTGGCCCGTTCTGGTCACGCCAGGAGGGGTACACAAGCCCCACAAGCCTGCATGCCTCCCTCGTTGTCTGTCTCTGTCTTGGAAAGAACATTCCCCTGAGCCGGACTGACTGTCCTTCAGCAGAGCACACACACAACCTCGACCCCCAGCAACACCCCCCCCGGCAGGGAACCTAGACCTCATCTGCGATATGCGCAGCCCTCTGGACTCAGCTGCACACAGCTCTGCCAGGGAATGTTAACCCTGGACAGGAGGAAACGATGATTGGAAGGGAGTGGAATGAGCCTGCAGGAGCAGGAGACGCATGGTGGCAGACACCCACCGAGCCTGGGTGCCACGTGCACAGTGACACAAACCAGGAGGCTGAAGACATATCCCTGTGGAGACACAATGGTCTGAGACTTGGGGACAGAGGGGTACCTTTGTTCTGGGCAGAGCCTCAGAGGGTGAGGGGCACCCTCTGAAGCCTGAGTAATGAACCATTTAAAGCAATCTGAGTTTCTGAGCCTTAGGATGGTGGTAACCCTTGCCTTGTCACAGGTAGAGAAACAGTGACACGGACAGGGGTGCTGGCACTCACCAGAGATCATCACGCTGTAAGGTGAAGTCCTGAAGTTCCTTTGAGAAGCCTCGAAAGCATCATCCCCACCCTTTACTGTGGGCTGGGGACAGCTGCTGAGGAGACTCCTCAGGTCTGCCCTATGACCCTGCTCTCCATATAGCTGTAGTGGAAGCCCCCATGTTTTATTTTATTTTTATTTTAATTTAATTTAATTTTTTTGCCCCCATGTTTTAATGGGGCAGGGGTTTCCTGGAAAGTTCTGTGGGTGGCAATTTTCCTTTCTACTGGGTAACAACCTATGCCCTTTGGGCTTATGAGAGTAGTCATCAAGGATTCACAGTCATCTATGTGGGGACTTCCCCATGCTCCTGAATGAAGGGGACAGGGAGGGGACAGAGGCAGAATGAAAGGCCACCTGGTTCCTCTACCCACTAAGAAAGAGAAGAGCAAAGGGTAGAAGGAGGAGGGGGCATGGGGCTTTTGCACACAGGGCTCCCTCTTTCATTCTTACTCTTTCCTCTGTGGGGTCTCCCCTAGGGGTGACCCATTCCTGCTCCTGCCCCTTCCCCCCCAGAGCCCCATTCCCCATCTGGCGGGATAATCTCCGACCCTTTTACTGTCCTCTTAAGGCCCCCCAAGGAGCTAGGTGAATTTATCTTGCATCTCCAAGTTCATTGGCAAACCAGTGTTCCAGGTTGGGGTCCTGGAGGAGAAGGGACATGGAGGCAGGGAGCTCAGGAACCTTCAGTGGCGGCTGGGGTGGGGGATCATCTTAAACCCTTGTTAAAAAGAAAGGAAGTGGGGTGCCTGGGTGGCTCAATCGGTTAAGTTCAGGTCATGATCCCAGTTCTCTGCTCAGCCAGGAGCCTGCTTTTCCTTTCTCTGCTGTTCCCCCTGCTTGTGCTCTCTGGCTCTCTGGCTCTCTGTCAAATAAATAAATAAAATTAAAAAAAAAAAAAGATGCTCTATTAGTTACCTATTGCCACATAACAAGCCACCCCAGAAGTTAGTAATTTAAAACAATAAACATATGATCTCACACCGTCAGGAAGCTAAGAGCAGCTTAGCTGTGTGGTTCTGGTGCAGGATCTCTTGTGAGGCTGCTAAGATGTGGGCCAGGGCTTGGTCAGGGTGGAGGATCTGCTTCCAAAAAGGCTCCCTCAGGTGGCTGCTGGTCAGAGGCTGTATTTCCTCCGTGAGTGGACCCCTTCATAACGCTGCTCACTGCACAGCGACTGGCTTCCTCAGGGGGAGAGAGTGGCCAAGAAAAAAGCTACCATGTCTTTATAACTTCATCTAGAAAGGGATATATCATCACTTCTGCCCCAGTCTATTGGTCACACAGACCAACGCTGGTACAACGTGAGAGAGGACAACATAAAGGGTGAATTGGAGGTAGCAGGAATCACTGGGGTCCATCTTGCTTATGATAGCTTGACTATCATGGGGGAAGAGTTGCCTGAGAGAGAGAGATAGGCCAAATGTGGAGAAGGAGCATCTCTGAGTTCCTCCATCCCTAGCCTTGCAATGGGCCTGACAGCCTCCTCTACCGTCTACTGTCCAGAGGTTCTGGAAGCCAAATGAGGTCCAGGGTCTTGCCAAGTCAAGTGTGTCAGGCAAGAGGCCATACGGTGCTCATTCAGACCCGTGGTCACGTTTGCCAGTGTGCCCCCCACTTTAACTTGGTCTTCTCATGTCCCCGGGCCAGGGCAGACACAGAAATTTCCCTGCCCCACCACCCCCACCAGGCAGAGGTGTTAGGGCTCAGGCCTGAGCCCCTGCTGTTGCCGCCCACCCCCCTCCAAAGGAGATGAGCAAAGAGCTTAGGTGTCCCTGCTCAGGCCCACCCCCAGGTGGAGTTAGCCCTTTGAAGGGAATGGGGTTGGGGTGAGGATGGCTTCTAGCTGCTGTGGCTGACAGTTTCTCCAAGGGCTGCAGGTGCAAGCTGGCTGAGCCCAGGCCGAGCTCTGAAATTTGTCTGCTCCAACCTCCCATGGGAGGCGGGAAACCTAGGAGCCTCCCTCTGAGTTGCCGAACATGGTCATAGAGCTAGGGACAATATGGCTGGGGTGGAGGTGGGTCAGGCCTCCAAGACTCTGTTTCCCAAACAACAGCCTCGGTCACCCTTCCCCCACACATCTCCAAGCCCTGCCCCCAGCCCCCTTTGCAGAGGGTGTCGGTGCAGCTACAGAAGGTTCTGGTAAGGAGGCCACCACAAGACTGCACCTGGGGCTTCCAACTCCCTACTCCACAGGCTGCTCTACCCCTTCTCCAACAGCCTGGTCCATGACACTCCATCAGCAGGTCACCAAGTGGGTTTCGCTCTTCTCCCCATCTTTCTCCCACCTTGGGCTCCTTCCCCTCCTCCAGCCTGGAGACAGAATACACACAGCAAAAGTAGCTCTCTACCAGGAAGTGGGAGACTTCTGGAAATCCCCATGTTCCATGCTTACAGGTCTGTGATGGAGCAAACTGTTTCACTTCAGTTTCTTCTTCTGCAAAAGAGGGACAGCAATACCCACCAAAATGTCTGACATGTGCAAATGTATGTGAAAGTGCTTGGAAAGTGGAAAATCACTCAGTCAATGTGAGGGATCATGGTGGCGCAAAGCCTCAGGACGCCTTAGATGCGCTTGTCGCCCTCCTACCCCTTCGTCACTGTGGGAGAAGACTTCTCTTAGCTGTCAGCCTGTCCTTCCTTTTTGTTTGTTTGTTTGTTTGTTTTTAAGCAATCTCTACACCCAATGTAGGACTCAAATTCATGACCCTGGGATCAAGAGTCACATGCTCTTCCAACTGAGCCAGCGAGGAACCCCATCTTGGCCTTTCTTAATGCAGAGGAGAGGCCAGGTGGGGGTAGGGGGGGCATCCAGAGCTGGGGCCCCAGCAGCTAAGTTGGAATCCCAGTTCCATCAATATAGTTTACCAGTTCTGTGACTGTTAGCAATTTTCTTAAACTCTTCGAGCCTTAGTTTCCTCATCTGTGTGATCTGGAGAAAAGCAGTTATGCCCTATCATTGTCATGAGGATTACATAAAATACACAACCATATAAAGCACATAGCAATCCTAACTGCTCAGCAGAAACTTCCTCTCTCCTCCTGTTATCTTTACCTGCTTTGGAAACCCCAGAGGGAGAGCCAGGTTCTTGGGGCCTGTTAACTCCTCAGAATCCAACTTCATGGGTGCTCAAGGTCTCAGACACAAGGGCTGGGCAGCATCACACAATCCATCTGGTCCATCGGTTGTAAATTGGTGGCCCTAAGCTAGATCCAGCCCTTCGGAATGCTTTGTTTGACTCACTCAGGGCTAGAACAACAACAGAAAATTAGTTGCCAATATTAAAATTAGGGGATATCATATAAATGTTTGGTTTTCCACCTTCCCTTGAAAGTTTGGCAGAACAGGCAGGCAAGTTTGAGTTTGCATCCTGGTGCAACCTCTCCTATCAACTCAGCCCGAGCTGGGTGGTCAGTGGCTGCCCTCATTACAAGATGCCCATACCCTCCAGTTGACCCACGTCAGTCCCCACCCCTCCCTACGTTTATAGCCAGCCTGCTTTCCCATTCATGTTACTTAGCAGGCTCCTGTAGTCATTTGGTTTTGTGATCCTTGGCTTTCCATTCATTCATTCATCCATTCATTCAAAAAGTATTCAACAGGAATTTAAATAAAATAAAATAAAATAGGGACACCAGGGTGGCTCAGTGAGTTAAGTGTCTGCTTTCGGCTCAGGTCATGATCTCAGGGTCCTGGGATCGAGCCCCGTGTTGGGCTCCCTGCTCAGGGGGCCTCGGGGAGGAAGATGAGCAGTAAGTGTTTAAAGGGTACAGAGCTTCAGTTGGGGAAGATGAAGAAGTTCTGGAGATGGATGGTGGTGATGGCTGCCTAATAACATGAATGTACTTAATACCACAGAACTGTAGGCTTCAAAATGGTTAAAATGGTAAATGTTATGGTATGCATATTTACCACAACAAATTTAATACCAATAAACATCAATACAATCAATACAATTCTATTTCTTTTTAAGAGAGAGAGTGCACCGGCATGCCCGAGGGGGGGTTGGGAGTGAGGATGGAGGGAGAGAATCTTAAGCAGGCTCCACACTCAGTGTAGAGCCCAATGTGGGGCTCAATCCCAGGACCCTGAGATTATGACCTGAGCCAAAATCAAAAGTTAGACGTTTAAACCGACTCACCCACCCAGGCGCCCGTCAATATTTTTAATAAAGGTTTCAGTACGTAGTAAGGGTCTCCCAGGCCCAAGGCACTCTGCTGGGTGCTAAGTAAGACAAATGTGGTCACCACTCGAGCCTGCCAGAAAGACACTAAACAATAATTTCATAAATATAACGCGTGCTTGCAAGGGAGAGGAAGCACGGGATACTGGGAGATCTTACCTTATTAAGGGAAGCTTGTTTCAACTGAGTAGCTTGAGAGGAGGGGTCACATGCAGAGAGGATAGTGAAGCAACAAGATCCAGACACACAAATTCTGCTGCGAAGTGCGGGGGTGGGTCGGCGGTGCCCCTTCACCGACCTTACCTCTGAAGCACCTGCCTGCCTCCAGACTTCTTTTAGGTAAGAAATCACCTTCAGTCTCAGTTAAGCCTCTATTATGTTGAATTTTCTTTCACTTGCAGCAGAACCCAATGTTCCCTGATACACACTTCCCAGGGAAGCCTTTCTTGATCTCCCAGTTGAAATAAGGTTCCCTATAATAAGATCCCCAGCAATCTGGGCTTCTCTTTTGTAGCATGTGTCCAATTGTGATGACATTATTAATTGTTTAGTGTCTATGAAACAGACTGGAGTGGTGACCACATCTAGCTTACTTATTACATCCCCAACACACACAGAGCGCTTTGGGCCTGGAAGACACTTGAAGAGGGGTGCCTGGCTGGCTCAGTTGGTAAAGCCTGCAGCTCCTGATCTCGGGGTTGTGGGTCTGAGCCCCACACTGGGTGTAGAAGTTACTTAAAAATAAAATCTTAGGGGCGCCTGGGTGACTCAGTCAGTTAAGCATCTGCCTTCGGCTCAGGTCATGATCACAGGGTCCTGGGATCGAGCCCCACGTCAGGCTCTCTGCTCAGCGGGAGCCTGCTTTTCTCTCTCCCTGCTGCTCCCCCTGCTCAGGCTCTCTCTCTCTGTCAAACAAATAAATAAAATCTTTAAAAAAAAATAATAAAATCTTTAAAAAAAAACCAACAAAATTCAACCTTGTTGAATATATGAATGAACGGGCAAAACTGGATTAGTTCAGAGGTTAGAAACTTAAATGCCTATTAGGACCTGTGAGGTAATGTAAATGAGAAAAGCAGGCTGGCTGTAAACAAGTCTGCAGGCAGGGGATGAAGCCTGAGGAGGACACACACCCTCCCTGTAAGGACAGCCCTTAGAGGTTGCACCGAACACTTGCACGTACATCCATTAACTGAAATTGAGTCATTTAGCCACATCCAGATGCAAGGGAGGCTGGGATTCAGTATACATTAAATCTGGGCAGCCATGAGCTCAGCTAAAAAAGGGACGGTTCTGTTACTTAAGGAAGAAAGAGACAACGTTTTGGGGACAACGAAAAGTCTGCGCAGAGAAATGGTGAAGATCTGAAGAAGGAACAAAAATTTCCTCAATTAGTGGTTCTCAAAGTGTGGCCCATGGCGGGGAGGGGTCCCTGAGACTTTTTCAGGGAGATTTTGAGGTCAAGCTACTTCCATAAAAATAATAAGACACTATTGGCTTTTGTCACCATGTTGACATTGTGATGATGTTGCAAAAGCAATCTGGGTTAGACTGCTGCCTTAGCACAAATCAAGGCAGCGGAGCCAAACGGGGCTGTAGTCATTGTGCTCTTCACCGCCAGGCGCTTGCAGTAAAAAAAGAATAAAAATATTAATGCCACTTTCACTTAAGAATGCCTTTGATGAAGCAGTAAATATTAATGTTATTAAATCTCAAACGTTGAGTACACTGTGTATAAAATGAGAAGTAGCATGACGCCTTTCTGCTGCAAATGAATCACAATGTTGTCTCAAGTAGAAATGCCTGCGTTAATTGTTGGAGTTGCAAGCTCAACTAGCCACTCTTTTCATGGTAGGGAGAGGGCATGGTCACATGGGCACATTTAAATGAGCACTCAGGCTATTGGTGGAGGATGGCCTAGAGGACGAAAGAATGGGGAGGCCAGGAGACAGAAAGGAGGCAGGGGCTTTGGTCCAGGCACAGGAAGGGGATGGCACTTGGGGTTGGAAGGGATGGGCCAGTGGTGGTGGGGCAGAGTGACTTGGATAGACTTCTGAGAGAGTTCAAAGGTAACATCCACAGGAAACGGCAAATAAACACATGGGAGGGGTTGGGTGAAGGAGTCAGAGAGTATTCCCAGTTTACTTGGCCTGAGCAGCTGGGAGGTGGCAAAGCCCTCACTGAGCGGGGGACTTGCAGAAGAAGTAGGTCTGGAGGGTACTGGTAAGCAGGTAATAAGTGTAGTGTGGGACATATGGGGTTTGCTATGTGTGGTGAGAATCCAAGTGGAGATGTCCAATGGGCAGGAGGATCTACACATCTGGAGCTCGAGAGAGACCTGGGCTAGAGAAATACTTGAGCGCTGGCCAGAGTTGAAGGGCCAGAGGAAAGGGGTCTGGTCAATTGTCACTCTGGGGTCACTCCGCAGGCCTCAGCCCAGGCCCCCTCTGCCACACTGGGCCACCTATAGTGCCTCTGGTCCCTCCCCACTGAACAAATGCCCTCAGGACCCTGGCAAGGGGCTTACCAAATGACCTCACGTGCCCCCCACCTCCCTCCCACTTCTTCCCTTGAGGCCCAAACCCAGATTGTGGTATCATCAATCAAGGCCATCTTTTTTCTCGTTACACAACAAGAAGTTCAGCGACACTCTGTGCTCCAGCCTAGTTCTGCTCAAATTTTTCCCTTGACTTTGGCATTTTCACTTTGACATCTTTCCCTGAGAGGTAGGGGGTGGGGACTCCAGTCCCAGATGATGACGTTGGGGGTTGGCCCAGGCCTGGGGTGTGGAGGAGCCTCACCACCAGGCTTCCTGTCTCTTCGTTTACATACATCTCTGCAGAAGTCACAGGCACTCTCCCCAGTGGGCTCCTGGTTGCAGAGCTCCCAGACCTCACGCAGACACACCTGTGTGAGAAACAGAGGGGAGGAAAGACACAAGCCCGGAGGTAAGATGCATAGACTCAGCTTCATTCTTTTCCATGGGTCTGGGAAGGGGAGGAGAATGTGGTGGCAGATGCGTTGGAATGTTCTGGACTCCCAGTTCTCTGCCCACAACTCTGGCCACCTTCTCTTGTGTTTCGCACTAAATGAACTGTGAGATTCAAGAGGCCGGGGCTATGGCAAATTTCTCTCCACATCCCCCTGTGCTCAGCTCAGTGCCCGGAGCAGAAGGTGCTCCTCAGAGGGGCATTGAGCTGGATTGCAAGATCAGAGAAGGCACGGAGACTGGAGGCCACCCCGGGCTGAGAAAGGCAGTGGGAGACAACTAGTCAAGGGGCCGTGGAGGAGGAGATAGGAAGAGGCGAAAGGGGAAAAAAGAAGAAAAGGTGGGAAACGGATAGAAAGAATAAATATATATTAAGGAGGAAGGATGCCTATAAAAAAAATTAAAAAAGGAAACAAAGGAAAAAGCAAGAAAATGAGAAGGACAAGTGAAATCTAGTCTAGAAGCAATGCTTCCCAAGTCAATTTTCCCAATGACTCAATTGCCAGAAATTCACACCAGAAACCATGTTTGTCTGCAGCATTTCATAAGCCTTATGACAGAGGTAGGTTTCTTTTACCTTTCTTTTCTGTTTATATTTATTTCTACATTTGGGTCTACTTTTGGGCATTTTGGGGATTTTTGAACAATATGTGTAAGGGCCCTTCCATTTTTTTTTTTTTTAAGGTTTCAAATGTACTTTATTTCTTCAACCATGCCATACTTTAATGGGTGCACAGTGCTTTTACTTGGCATCAATTATGAGTTGGTTTTGAAACAATTCAGTATTACACCAACTGGGATGATTACTGATCTCTCCATTCCTTTGGGGTGACTCTGCCAACAGGGGACAGGTTCCACTCTATTCCAATTTGTGTTGCTGTATATGCCCATACAGCAATACAGAAAGTGGCTCCACTAGCTAGTACGGCATTACCATATTTGTCATGGAAATCAGGTGTCCTTTTCTGGTGGCTCTGCCTTGCCATTGTTTGTGGAATGCTTTGAACTCGGAGACGACTTAGAGCGGTTCTGGCTATGGGAAACATTCTGAAGCTGAAGATAAACGGTGCAACTGTAGCTGCTGCTTTGCTACAACTTCGTTCTAAGTCTCCTTGCAAAGAGCCCTGAAAAACAAAATCAGGGCCCTTCCATTTTAATGAGCTTTAAAATTATTAACGAAATTCTCTGAAAGGGTTGAAACTGAGCCCTTAGGTACACAATGCTATCAACGTGATAGATACATATTCTTAGGTAAATACGTCATTAGAAAAACAGGTTCAAAAAAAGTTTTAGATGTCTCAGCTGCTCTAGAAACGGAGGCTAGGTGGTTTTGAAAAGGATTTGCAGGTCCCTCCTGGGCTTGGTGTGGTGTTGGGGGGATGCAGGAGGTGTTACCCCTCAAAAGAGAATGCCCTGTACAATCCCGCCTCTTGCCTCCAGGCTTTTTGTCTTTTCCCCTCTCCTAAGACCTCCATGGCCTTGCAGCATTGTCCCCCAGGTGTCCTAAAGCCTTCCCTTCCAGACATATTCTGGGACAGGGACCTTCTCGGTACCGTCAGATTCCTCAAAATAGAAAGGCCCCACTACCGCTAATTCAAACATTTTGCTCTGGGTGGGATAGCTCTTCCTGAAATTTCCGTTTTCATGGGGCAAATTTTTAGGGGTGCAAGGCTGACAGTAGAACCTGAGGGGGGAGATCACTCCGTTTCATATTTTGACAAATAATTTCTTGTGCTGTGTTAGATTCTGTGGGCTCATACAAAATGGCCGCCCTCTTAGCCTCGGATGAAGGAGTTACCAGAGGACAGGTTCAAAGAGAACTCCCGACATGATTTCCCTTTTTCAGTTGGGGGGCACTTGTATAGAAGAGGTCTACCTCAAAATAAAAACTCCCCCATACCAACTGGTTCTAGGCAGAAGCCCTGTAGCGTCTTAGGCCCTGATCTGGGCCATAATGGTGAGGTGGCCACAAGGGAGTTCAGTAGACCGAGGGCCTTGCGCATTTTAGACACTCAATAAATGTTGAATGAAATAACTGATGAGGCTGGGTGATGGGAAGGGACAGATAGGAGCCTGGGTTTGCAGGGCTCTAAGGTTGAGCTCTGTTCTACACCTTTTGGGAGATATAGGGGAAGGGAGGAAGGAGGGCACGGCACCCCCCCACGTGGGCGTCTGAGGCAACGAGAGGATGGTGGAGGTTGCAGCCACCGAACCACAAGGGTCCCTTAGAGGGTCATGGTCTCTAGGAAGTTTACATGAAGCCAGTGAGCAGTAGAGAGGGTGTATGCGGTGGGGAGCACATCCCGCGGTGGGGGGCACATCCCACGGTGGGGCTCGAGGGGCTGCCTGGGGGCTCTGGGGAGAAGATGAAAGTGTCTGTGGGACCACAGACTGTTGCTGTGGTGGGGCTGTGCCCTCTTCCTCTCCCCAGTCTTGCTCCTCATCCCATCTGGGGGGCCAGAGCAAGGGCAACAGGAACCTCAAGAGCTCGGAGAGTTTGTGAGTTTGTGTTGCCATTTTGGTCTCACGGTTCTCTTGGTCTCTTTTGATCTCTCTTTTGGTCTACTGCTCTGGGCATGGGTGTTGCCTTTCAGAATGTCTTCATCTCTTTCCCTCTGACTCTGCCCGGTTTGCACTACCCTGGGCTTGGCATGGGATCAGGGATTGTGTGAAGTGTAGCTAGCTGTGGCTTTAATGAGCTGCTCCGGGTCTCTCCCTCCCATCCTCCCTCATCCTCCCTTGGGGCCTCTGTGTGTTTCCTGGAATCTCTCCTTTTCCCTTGGTCCACCCTGCAGACATCTCCCTTGCACCCACCTTCGGCTCCAGGCTGTGCTCTGCAGGCTTCCTTCACATCAAAGCTGGTTGAAAGCCTGCATTCCTGCCAGAGGCCTGGATGCCTGTTCACTGGCAAGAAGGGGCTAGAGCTTAGCGGCAGCTGGAGGTGGGGATGAAAAAGGAGGAGAGGCAAGGGGCACTCTGGGCAAGACCAACAGAGCCAGAATTGGTTCCTGGCGTCTGAGGCCAAGAGGAAGAGAGGTTCAGGTGTGGGGAGTCGAGTATGGGAGCCATCAGTGTGGGGAGGCACAGACACAGAAATACACAGATGTGAGCGAGAAACAAGGAGAGAGAAAGGGAGAAAGAGAGGGAGAGAGAGAGAGACAGGGGGGCCAGGGCCTGGGGGACCAGCAAGCCCTCCTCCCAGCCTCTCTCAAGGGTGAGAGAGGTCTACAGGATGCTACTGTACTGGGGCAGAGCGCCTCTGGGGAGGATGAGGGTGTGGGAATCAAAAGCCTGCTCTCTGGGGCGGCAGCGGAAGCCCAAGTCACCAAAGCAAGCAGCAGCTGGAAACCCATAGCCTCCTCCACCGAGCTGAGCCCTGGGTGAGTTGGGGCAGTACAAGGAGCTGAAGGTGCGGAAGTAGCCCTCTGCACAGACCTCAGGATCATGGCGTGAGGGAGAAGGAATGACCACCATTCGGGGAAGGGTCAAGAATGTCCCTAGCCTTCCCTAGGCATCTACACTGAATTTGGACCCCAGGGAAGGGATATTCCAAATGGAGACTCCTTTACTTTCCGCTCACCAAGGACATATTGAGTCTGGGATGGGGGGACAGTGGGAACCACTCTCAGATGTAAGAGCGGCCATACCGCACTCTCTCCCCTCAGCCGTCCTCTCAGCACCTCCATGCCCCATGCTAACTTGTAAACAACTACACCCGTGACCAGCCTCTGTCCTCCATTTCGGGAAACCCTGATTTCTTCACTTCCTATTTCCCCGGTTAAAAAAAAATTCTATCAGGGACATTTGGCTGGCTCAGTCGGAAGATCATGCAACTCTTGATCTCAGGGACATGAGTTTGAGCTCCACGTTGGGTGTAGAGATTACTTAAAAAATAAATAAACTTAAAAAAAAATTCTGTCAAGCCCCTATCTTGTATTAGGCCCTGGGACATTCCTCTTTCAGGCAGATGGAGTGACTGGAGATGGCATCTATCATCTAATCTATCTATCTATCTATCTATCTATCTATCTATCTATCTATCTACCTATCTATCTATCATCTATCTATCATCTATCTATCTATCTATCATATGTAATATATATGATATATATATCTTCCCCCAAACCTCATTAGGAGGCCCATGTCCCCAGCACATCTGAGGACTACATCACTATCATGGGTCGGTGCCCAACAGGAAACAGAATCTGCCTCAGATGGTTCAAGAGACCACAGAAAGGGGGTTATTCCCAGAAGTGTGAAGAGGGAACCAGCCAGCACATGGAGGGGGTATAGCTGTTGCCAGAAAGTATGCCCGAGGAGGAAGAGAGTTAGGAAAAATACCCCAGCCTCCTTCCCTGACCCTCTCTCATCTTGTGGGTGCTTCCCACTGGCCAACCCCAACTAGTAGTGGGGTGGTGGTGGCAAGGGAGCTGGGTGGTACGGTCTGCAGAAGTCAGCCTCCTTGTAGAGAGCAGGGCAGGGAGGTTGGAGAATAGCTCAGGGGTGGGAGGGGGTTGGGGAGTGGGGGTGGGGGGCATAAGAGTAGGCAACATGGATTGGGGTGACTTGGCTTCATCTAGGCCAGGGTTAGGTGTGGACACATTCTTAAATGACCCACTTTAGTAACAGAATTAATATGTTGAGTACGGAAAGAAGTCAGTGATTTTCCCTCCTCCATTCAATTCAATTTGGTTTAAGTTAACCAAACACATCCCAAATCTCTTCTCGATGCTCCAGCTGGTGCCAGGCCTACAGTGGTGGCAGAGCTGGCTGGAGCATCATCTTCATCCTGGAGATCAAGCTGCGGGGGTGGGGGGGGGGGAGCCCAAATCAAAGACTGGGCTGGGGGACAGAGAAACAAGTCTGGACGCAGGATCTCTTCTTGCCAAGCTCTGGACCAAGTTCATGCTGACACTGCCCCCCAAGACAGCCACCCCTCTGAGGCCTACTTCCAGTCTGAGCCTGGAGCTCAAAGGTGCAAGCCCTGTTCCCATCTGCCTTCCAGACATTATCTGGTGGCTTTCCTCCAGTCCCCACTCCCTCCATGTCATCTGGTCTCCTTCCTAAAGCTCTATACAGACCATGTCCCGTCTCTGCTCAAAACTCAGCAGTTCCTCCTAGTTGCCTGCAGAACAAAGCCCTGACCCTCTAGCCTCCCTGTCAAGATTCTCAACCAGGCCTCGGATGCCTTCCCACATCCCAGCCCTCCCTCCCTGAGTCTCTCCAGACTCCCAGCTGGGATCTCGGCCCTGCCCCCTGACAGGCTGCCTGACTCACTGCTGTGGCATGGTGGGGTGCCCCCACCCTGTCCTCCCCCCCGCTCAGTTTCTGATTCAGCAGGTCTGGGGTGAGGCCTGAGAATTTGCATTTCTAACAAGTTAACAGCTGCTGCCGATCCAGGACCACACTTTGAGAATCGATGCTCTGGGCGCCTGGGTGGCTCAGTCGGTTGGGCATCTGTCTTTGGCTTACGTCGGGAACTTGGGGTCCTGGGACCCAGGATGGAGCCCCGCCTCAGGCTCCCTGCTTATCAGGGAGTCTGCTTCTCCCTCTCCCACCACCTCTCCTCCCTGCTTGTGCTCTTGCTCTCTCTCAAATGAATAAATACAATCTTAAAAAAAAAAAAAAGAGAGAGAGAGAATCGCTGCTCTAACCTCAGGCTGCCCGTTGTGCTAGGTTCATTCAGAGCCTTTCTACACCCCCTCCCCTCCCCCCGCCCCAGCCGCCACCATCTCCGGAGCTCACAGAAACCAAACATTTTTCTGCTTTCCCTCAGAGGCCTTACAGGGTTGGTCTGAGAGTGAGCAGGGAGTTACTCTCTGCTCCTTCTCTCCCTCACCCCACACAGTGTATCTGGCCCCAAGTCCTGGGAATTTGCCCTCAGACGTACCCCTCAGGGCCGTCTCTTTTTCCACATTTCCATAGTTCTGACTTGTCTGAGTTTGGGTCTGTCTTCTCTCACCAGGATTGTGGCAACCTTGCTTCCTGGGCTTGGCCTCCTCCAGCTGGTCTTTCACAGAGCCGCCGAAGGGAGCCACTCTGCAAACCAAATCATGTCCTTCTTTTTTTTTTTTTTAAAGATTTTATTTATTTGACAGAGAGAGAGACACAGTGAGAGAGGGAACACAAGCAGGGGGAGTGGGAGAGGGAGAAGCAGACTTTCCTCCCAAGCAGGGAGCCTGATGTGGGGCTCGATTTCAGGATCCTAGGATCATGACCTGAGCCGAAGGCAGACGCTTAACGACTGAGCCACCCAGGCGCCCCTAAATCATGTCCTTCTTGACATAAAGTCCTTTACTGGCTCCCTGCTGCCTAGGGCCATGGCCCGGCATCACAGCAGGGCACTCAAGGACCTTCACGGCCTGGCCTGGCCTGGCCGCCCGTCTCAGTCCCCAGCAACCTGCCACCTTCTCTGTGAATCCTGTTCTGATTCCACTTCAAGAACCCACCCTGGCCTGGGCACAGCCTTGTGTAGCACGTCTGGATGGATGTCTGCTTAGCAGTCAGCATGTCTAGGTCCCTGGCTCGGCTGTATGGGTGAGATTGCCTGTCACCCCCCTGTATCCCCGTGAGCCCCAGGCCCAATAAATGCCTGCTGACTAATGACTGGTATCTCCCTCAGGCCCTGCCCTCTGTGCGGGGAAGGCCCAGGTCCCTGCCTGCCTCAACAAGGCCACGATGAGTCGAGGGGCTGCTTTTAGGCACCTGCTCCTGGTGCTGCAGTTGGGTGAGTGCTCAGACCTTGGGGTCCTGGTGGGAGGAGGGGCTGACTGGGAAATGCAAAAATGGGGGGATGGCCTTGAGGCCTGACCTCCCTTTTTTCCACCTAGCGATGCTCCCCGCGGTCCCTCAGGAAAGAGAGGTGGTGTTGGCGAAGGTGGGAGACACAGCGGAACTGCCCTGCCATGCTACCCCGGGGAAGAACATAGGCTTCAACTGGAAACATTCTTCCATGGTCAAGATTCTGGGGCGTCAGGGCTCCTTCTGGCTTACAGGTAGGGTGGCCCAGCTCCCCATCCAGGGAGGAAGACACCATGGACTGAACATCCCTGGTGTCAGAGCCCGGCTTCCGGTAAACTCTGAGATCCCAGAGGGGTCTGGCTGACAGGCTCAGGTGTGCTCTCCCAGTCCAGGGTTTCCCTGTGCCAACTGTGGGTGGCCCAGGGAGTGGCTCTCAGTGTCTATTATAATTTCAGAATTTTAATGTTCATGGCCTTATTTTAATGGATCTTAGAGAAATAACTATCATATAAAACCTGTAATTTCATGGATATTATTGCTACAGACCCAGGATGATACGTTTTTACTTCCATTAAAAAGCAACACAATGATGTTTTTTCTCGCTTTTAAAGTAAAAAGAATTAAGATCTCCATACTTCTTAGAAACGTATTTTGCAGTAAAGGAGTTTTACTGTCATATTGAGGTTTGCCCTTATACTCTTCTTTAAATAATAATTCTTTCTTATATGTATGGCCTCTAATATTCAACTTGTTGAATAGAAGCACCATATGAGAAAACCTCATCAGCATGAAATATGTTTTTGTAAATATGTTTTTATTTTATAAGTTTATTAGATTTACCATTGTTTGTATTTCATTGCTTATTTTTATTTTTATTGTTTTTTTTTAAGATTTTATTTTAAAGTAATCTCTACACTCAACGTGGGGTTTGAATTCACAACCCCAAGATCAAGAGTCATACCCTCCACCACTGAGCCCACCAGGTGCCCCTCATTGCTTATTTTTAATATCTTTTTAATTATGAAAAATTTAAACATATATAAAAGTAGAATAATTAGATAATGAACCCCCATGTATCCCACTCAGCTTCAGCAATTATTATTTAATGGTCAATTAATGGTTTCCTTTCATCTACATCCCCAAACCTCCACCACCATATTATTTTATAGCAAATACCAAACATTGTATTATTTAGTCTGTAAATACTTTGATATGTATCTCTAAAATATAATGACTCTTTTTTTCTTCCCCTCCTAAAATGTAATGACTCATTTTTTTTTAAGATTTTATTTATTTATTTGACAGAGAGAGAGAGAGAGAGAGCATGAGGAGAGGGGAGGGGTAGAGGGAGAGGGAGAGGCAGGCTCCCCAGTGAACAGGGAGCCCAATGTAGGGCTCGATCCCAAGGACCCCAGGATCATGACCTGAACCAAAGGCAGATGCCCAACCCACTGAGCCACCCAGGTGCCCCAAATGTAATGACTCTTTAAAAAAACATATCCACAGTATCATTATCACCCATTAAAAATGAAGAATAATCCCTTAATGTTGATAAATATCCAGGCAGTGTTCAAATTTTCCTAATTGCCTCTAATATTATTTTTACATTTGGTTTATTTGAATCAGGATCCAGATAAAAATTTAGGCATGGTATTTGGTTGATATGTCCCTTAAATCCCTTTGAATTTTCATATTTGTTCCCCCAGATTTTTTTTCTCTTACCACTGATTGGTTGAAGAAACGAGGCAATTGTCCTGTGAAGTTTTACACGTTTGAAAGGAGCTGGCTACATTCCCGTGGTGTCATTTAACATGTTCCTCTGTCCCTTGAATCTCCTATGGATTGGTGGTTAAATCTAGAGACTTGATTAAGTTCACATTTAATTTTTTTTAAAGATTTTATTTATTTATTTGAGAGAGAGAATGAGAGAGAGAGAGAAAGCACATGAGAGAGGGGAGGGTCAGAGGGAGAAGCAGACTCCCTGCTGAGCAGGGAGCCTGATACGGGACTCGATCCTGTGACTCCAGGATCATGACCTGAGCCGAATGCAGTCGCTTAACCAACTGAGCCACCCAGGAGCCCCACATTTAATTTTTTTTTAAAGATTTTATTTATTCATTTCTCAGAGAGAGAGAGAGAGTGAGCAAGCACAAGCAGGGGGAATGGCAGGCAGAGGGAGAAGCAGTCTCCCTGCAGACCAAGGAGCCCAATGCAGGACTGGATCCCAGGACCCTGGGATCATGACCTGAGCAGATGCTTAACTGACTGAGCCACCCAGGTGTCCCAGTAATTTTTTGACAAGAACACCTCATAGGTGGTGTTTTGTACTACCAATTTCATCACATCAGGAGCTATGTGATGTCTATAACTCTTTTTGTGCTATTAAGATTAATTGATGGGCTCGGGCACCTGGGTGGCTCAGTCGTTAAGTGTCTGCCTTCGGCTCAGGTCATGATCCCGGGGTCCTGGGATCGAGTCCTGTATCGGGCTCCCTGCTCTGCGGGGAGCCTGCTTCTCCCTCTCCCACTCCCCCTGGTTGTGTTCCTGCTCTTGCTATCTCTCTCTCTGTCAAATAAATAAATAAAATCTTTAAAAAAAAATTAATTGATGGGTTCAAGTGTTAGCTATAAGTGATAATTATAAAACATTATTTTTTGTTTTTAATAGTTGCCTTCCATTTATGTCAAATGCTTCAGACTTTCTGTTTATTATGGTGATACAAACTTTCCTTTTATTTATTTTTATTATTTATTTTATTATTATTATTATTATTAAAGATTTTATTTATTTGAGAGAGAGGGAGCACAGAGAGAGAGGCAGAGGGAGAAGCAGACTCCCTGCCAAGCAGGGAGCCTGATGTGGGGCTCAATCCCAGGACCCCGAGATCATGACCTGAGCCGAAGGCAGATGCCCAACTGACTGAGCCACCCAGGCGCCCCTTTATTTTCTATTTTTAGAGAGAGACAGCATGAGCTCGGGATGGGAGGGGCAGAGGGAAAGGGAGAGGGAGAATCTTAAGGAGGGTCCACACTCAGTGCAGAAGCCCGACGAAACGCTCGATCTCATGACCCTGAGATCATGACCTGAGCCAAAATCAAGAGTCGAATACTTAAACCACTGAGCCACCCAGGCGCCCCTAAACTTTCCTTTTTTTAAAATAAATTTATTTAGGGTGCCTGGGTGGCTCAGTTGGTTGGGCAACTGCCTTCGGCTCAGGTCATGATCCTGGAGTCCCGGGATCGAGTCCCGCATCAGGCTCCCTGCTCGGCGAGGGGCCTGCTTCTCCCTCTAACCCTCCCCGCTCTCATGTACTCTCTCTCTCTCTCTCATTCTCACTCTCTCAAAATAAATAAATAAATCTTTAAAAAAAATAAAATAAATTTAATCTAAAAAAAGTGAATGGATTTAAAGATGTTACATTAATAAGATAGGTAGATTTGGCCAAAATCATGTATAAGATGTGTGAATGGTTGATGTCTGGGGAAATATGGTTTTAGTCCAAGACTTTGACTTTACTAGTGAGGAAACTGAGGCCCAGGGAGAAGTCCCTGCCCCGAGTTTGTGCCCGGTTAGAGGCAGAACTGGGGCTAGAGCTTTGGTCTTTCATTCAGCGCTAGGCTCTCCTGTGGAAAGGTATCCTCAGTGCAATCAAAACTGAATTGGCCACAGTGCATAGAAAACCATCTTTGTTGAAAATGGATGTCTCCTCTTCCTGCCTCTGTCCAGTGGGAGAGAAGTCCTCCATTTTTGGCAAGGAGGTTCTTGCTGGGACCCCAGAGTGACAATTCAGACACCCACCCATGTCCACTCTTCATGTTTGGACATGAAGAAAAAGGGGGATATTGGGCTGGATCTTTATTGACCCAAAGCCATTCCCTAAAATTAACAAAACCCCCAATTCCTGATCTCTTTCTGATAAAGGCACACAAAGCAAAAATCAGCAGGTTAACTGCCCTTTGCGTGCCCATGTCCTTTCCTTCAGACAGCTGTTTAAAGAGGACCCTATGGGAGCGCCTGGGCGGCTCAGTCAGTTAAGCGTCTGCCTTCGACTCGGGTCGTGATCTGGAGAACCTGGGATTGAGCCCTGCGTTGGGCTCCCTGCTCAGTGGAGAGCCTGCTTCTCCTTCTCCCTCTGCTCTTCCCCCACGCTCGTGCTCTCTCATTCTATCTTAAATAAATAAAATCTTTTAAATAAAACAAACAAACAAATAGGACCCTATGATCAAACTAACCTGTGTCCTTTCTTGGCCTGTGGGCTCCTAGTGCCCATTATGTAATTTTCACCCTGGCGGAGCTCAGAACACTCCCACAAACTCTGCAAGTGATTTTTCTTGTCCTAGAATTTTATTCTGCTGAATTGCTTGAAATAATCAGACTTTCAGCTGAGACTTTATTTATTTTTATTAATTTTAAAGTTAAAATGATTTGAAAAAGCAACACAGGTACAAGGTAAACATTTAAAACCATACAAATGATACCCAGTGCATTGAAAACAAAATTCAGCTGAGTAAATTTGGAGATCTAATTGGCTTTATTCAGTGATTCATAAATTGGGTAACATCCCGACTAGCAAATAGAAAAGACCTCTGAAGAGCTGTAGAAAGGAAAGGTTTTTAAAGGCAGAAAAGGGGTGGGGAAAAGGAAGTTTATTAGCAAAGAGTGCATTGTTTCAGGCAAGGTCACCTGCTTGAGGGGACAGAAGGGGTCTGTCAGGCAGATTTCCTCATTAGTGCTGACCAGGTAATTCCAGATTGACTCATTAAAGCTTCTGTTCCTGGAAAAAGCTGAAACTGCAATTAGGTTAGGTATTAAGTCTTGGTTTGCTGATGTGGGGGTTAGCATAACTGACTCCATTTTGGTCCTGTTGGCTCTTGTTTTACAGTTCCCCTCTTTTGATCATAGCTCTCAGCTAAACTGAGCGTGGCCTTAGCGCCCCTCCCAGCTACTGCTCTGAAGTTCTTGAAGTTTCTGTTGATTCTTTGTCTGGTACTCACAGGTCGTGACTTTCCCCCCTAATCTTTGTGACATTCACAGGTTATAACTTCAGGTTTATAGTTTTTAAGTTGGTGGTTCTTTTTGTTCCTTTTCTGATGTTCCAGTCTTAGGGAGATCATTTGCTTGGTGGTTAACAGCAGCAAACAGTGCATTTAAAGCCTTTGAGAGGGAGGCACCTGGGTGGCTCCGTCCCTTAAGTTTCTGCCTTCGGCTCAAGTCATAATTCTGGGGTCCTGGGATCGAGCCCGGAGTTGGATTG